GGTCTTTTGAAGAGTGTCACTTCTAGTCTCGATCAGGAAGTTGTGGCGTGACAAACTGACACTGAATGCAAAAGTGGTTGATGAGAAATTTCACTTTAGCCAAATTGAGTTATTTTGTCATGTTTTTAATATTGATCAGTTGTTGAAATTACTATTATTCCGACCGATGGCATCTCACATCACCATCTTCTTGATCTGGGTGAGCTCTGGCTAAATTTGATTATTGAATAGGTCTATATTTTAATGTTCACTAGAATGTCAAATCAAAAAATGAAAAGACTGTTTTGCTTAATAAGATATGTTGTTACGTTCTTACTCTTTTCTGAATGTGGGGCACGCAAGTGCATAATCCAATATCTTGTGCTTATATACTTATATACAACAACATTTATAAATATGAAGATGCATGCATATGATATCATATACAGTGGCTTGCGAAAGTATTCACCCCCCTTGACATTTTTTGGGGGTTTGTATAATTTGATTTACACAACATGCCTACCACTTTGAAGATGCAAAAATCTTTATTAAATGCTTTAGGTTAAAATAATTACTCTTTGACGATTTTCGAAACACACTTTGACGTCTCCGTGCGTTCTGCGCCTGTACCGTGGGCCTCCCATGCTCCTCATTTTTTCATTTCACCAGCCTCCACTGGGAGGGGGGTAGTTCAAAAATCAATCCCAAAAGATTCTTCAAAAGGTTCTTCGAGGATCCATTAAAAGGGGTTATTTGAAGAATTTATAGCGGTTCCCCCACAGTTTCAATTTGAAGAACCCCTAAAGGATACTCCAGGAACCTTTTATTTTTAGAGTGCACAGAGATTCTATATCAATTCTACAGTATTTCATCTCCATTGGACCTGATATGAGTGTTAGAGAGAGTAGATCCCAAGTGCCATCCCATATAGTTAGCTAGTTCAGGAAAATTGGCATGGACATAAAACTATTTCCCACACTTAAAAATAACCAAAAATGCTTCTATTGCTTGTTTCATATATGGCACCCCTAAAGTTTCTATATAGAGCCCTTTTGTAGGGTTCTTTGAGATACCCAGGGGTTCTTCTTTACTGAACCAACATTTGTTCCATATAGGTTTCTATATGGAACCAATTTTGGTTCAGAACCTTAATGGTGCCATATATGAAGCAAGCATAGAACCATTTTTGGTTCTATCCAGAACCTTTGTTTCTAAGAGTGCAGTTTGAATAGTTAAGAGGAAATTGAAATACAGCAAGTCTTTGAGGACAGTGGAAGTTGATAATGCTTCTGTAATATTAAAACCAATGTGTTTCGGCCTGTAGACTTCATCAGAGTTTAACAGATAGAAAAATGAGAGGCCAGTTTGAATAGTTAAAATTACAGCTCCTTTTACTTCCTCAAAATGGAAAAATGAGCTGAATAACACAAAAAAGCCACATGATGGAAACCTTTCTTTAACAAAGTCAACATTGAAGATGCAAAATATTTTTTATTGTGAAACGAACAAGAAATAAGACAAAAAACAGAAAACTTGAGTGTGCATAACTATTCACTCCCCCAATGTCAATACTTTGTAGAGCCACCTTTTGCAGCAATTACAGCTGCTTGTCTCTTGGGGTATGTCTCTATAAGCTTGGCACATCTAGCCACTGGGATTTTCGGCCATTCTTCAAGGCAAAACTGCTCCAGCTCCTTCAAGTTGGATGGGTTCCGCTGGTGTACAGCAATCTTTAAGTCATACCACCGATTCGCAATTGGATTGAGGTCTGGGCTTTGACTAGGCCATTCCAAGACATTTAAATGTTTCCCCTTAAACCACTCAAATGTTGCTTTAGCAGTATGCTTAGGGTCATTGTCCTGCTGGAAGGTGAACCTCCGTCCCAGTCTCAAATCTCTGAAAGACTGAAACAGGTTTCCCTCAAGAATTTCCCTGTATTTGGCGCCATCCATCATTCCTTCAATTCTGACCAGTTTCCCAGTCCCTGCCGATGGAAAAACATCCCCACAGCATGATGCTGCCACCACTATGCTTCACTGTGGGGATGGTGTTCTAGGGATAATGAGAGTTGTTGGGTTTGTGCCAGACATAGCGTATTCCTTGATGGCCAAAAAGCTCAATTTTAGTCTCATCTGACCAGAGTACCTTCTTCCATATGTTTGGGGAGTCTCCCAAATGGCTTTTGGCGAACACCAAACATGTTTGCTTATTTTTTTCTTTAAGCAATGGCTTTTTTCTGACCACTCTTTTGTAAAGCCCAGCTTTGTGTAGTGTAGGCTGCTTAAAGTGGTCCTATGGACAGATACCCCCAATCTCCGCTGTGGAGCTTTGCAGCTCCTTCAGGGTTATCTTTGGTCTCTTTGTTGCCTCTCTGATTAATGCCCTCCTTGCCTGGGCCGTGAGTTTTGGTGGGTGGCCCTCTCTTGGCAGGTTTGTTGTGCCAAATTCTTTCCATTGTTTAATAATGGATTTAATGGTGCTCCGTGGGATGTTCAAAGTTTCTGATATTTTTTTATAACCCAACCCTGATCTGTACTTCTCCATAACTTTGTCCCTGACCTGTTTGGAGAGCTCCTTGGTCTTCATAGTGCCGCTTGCCTGGTGGGTGCGTAGTGGTGTTGCAGACTCTGGGGCCTTTCAGAACAGATGTGTATATATACTGAGCTCATTTGACAGATCCTGTGACACTTAGATTGCACACAGGTGGACTTTATTTAACTAATTATGTGACTTCTGAAGGTAATTGGTTGCACCAGATCTTATTTAGGGGCTTCATAGCAAAGGGGGTGAATACATATGCACTCACCACTTTTCCGTTATTTATTTTTTAGAATTTTTTGAAACAAGTAATTTTTTTTCATTTCACTTCACCAATTTGGACTATTTTGTGTATGTCCATTACATGAAATCACCAAAAAAAATCAATTTCAATAACAGGTTGTAATGCAACAAAATAGGAAAAAGGCAAGGGGGATGAATACTTTTGCGAGGCACTGTACTGTACCTCTTGGCGTGACATGTGAAGTACACTCCCCTACATGTGTTTTTGGACATTAAATATACAATTTAAATTAGGCTCTATACTACAGCATTTTAGATTTGAGATCAAATGTGTCATATGAGGCGACAGTACAGAATGTCACCTTTTATTTGAGTTTTTCTTTTATACACATCTGTTTTACAGTTTAGAACTGAAAGCACTTATTTGTCTAGTCCCCGCCATGTGAGTAAGTCATAAGTACTTGGACAAATTCACTATAGTGTATCAAGTAGTCAAAGGTTTAGTATTTGGTCCCATATTCCTTGCACTCAATGACTACATCAAGCTTGAGACTCTACAAATTTGTGGATGCGTTTGCAGTTTGTTTTTGTGTTTGGTTT